TTATAACCAGTTGGCGCCGCACGCGTTGCGCGCTTACAGTTCAATTCTGCGGCGATATGGTGCGGCGTAAATTCTCGAATTTGGCCACACTTCGAATATTTGACTTTCAAGCTGAATTCTATCCGATTGCCCCATGCTTCATCCACCGATGGCCTTTTGACCTTCCTCCTTCGTCCACCAATTGTCCCCCTTCGTCAACCAATTGTCCGCTTTTCCCGGTCTCGGACTGCCTCTGGACCGATTTATGAACCTCGTGGTAAACTCCGCCTATTTCTTTGCATGTCCCACCTATCTTTTTCTTCCTCGCCAACCTCTCCCCACTTTTTACCCGATCTCTGAACTGTCTCTGAGCCGATTTATATTTTGGCGGCGAAACCTGCTTTTTTGGTGTATCCTCCGCACACCATTAGAAATTCACCTTTCCTTCGCCCACTTCTCTCCCGGTCTCCAGGACTTCTTGAAGCCGAGTTATGAATTTCGTCGCAAACTCCGCCCACTTTGGTCATGCCCCGCCCACCATGACAGTTGGCCTCCACTCCTCCACCCACCTCTATCCACCTTTTTCCGGCTCACTAAGACTTCTCCGGCCCGAATTATGAGGACTTGTAGAAAACGCTGTACACTTCAGAGCGCGCTCCGCCCATTGTGGGCGGGCCTCCGCCCACGTCATGTATGCTGGGAACACCTTAGACATTGCTCCCCTACACCAATTTGTTTTCTGCTCTGTAGGCTTTCTCCCAACCGAGTTATGAAATTTTTCATAAAGCACTGCTTTTTTGAGAACGCCCCGCCCACCGGGGGTGGGTCTCCCTAATTCGATGTGACTTACCAATGCACACCTTTACCCACTTTTTGGCCCAGTTTCGAGGTTGTTTTGTCACTGAAATTGAAATCTTGGTCTCAGTACAGTTCATTTCGATGCACGCCACGCCCACTGTGGGCGGGGCTCCGCTTAGCTGATGTGTGTTTTGTACTTCGTGAGACCTTGCCCACCCATCCCACACTTGACCCGGTCCCTCCAGGCGGATCCCGAGGAGCTAGGGAATTTCGTGACAGACATACAGAACGACAGACAGACGACAGACGAAGCGCTTTATAGTAAGTAGGATCCTACTTATATAATGCGCTATGTCTGTCTGTCTGTCTGTCACGAAATTCGGTATTAAGCGAACAACAACCTACAGGGTCCAGGTCAAGTTTGGGATGGGTGTACCATATCTCGAGAAGTAAAAAACACACATCAGCTAAGCGGAGCCCCGCCCACAGTGGGCGTGGCGTGCATCGAAATGAAGCTGTACTGAAGACCAAGATTTCAATTTCAGTGACAAAACGACCTCGAAACTGGGCCAAAAAGTGGGTAAAGGTGTGCATTGGTAAGCCACATCGAATTAGGGAGACCCACCCCCGGTGGGCGGGGCGTTCTCTAAAAAAGCGGTGCTAAATGAAAAAATTCATAACTCAGTAACTGGTGTAGGGAAGCATGCCTAATTTTAAGGTGTTCCTAGCATTTATTACCTGTGTGGAGGCCGCCCACAATAGGCGGAGCGTATCCTGAACAGACAGCGTTTCCTACAGTCCTCATAATTCTGTTCCCAGAAGTCTTAGAGAGTGGGAAAAAGGTGGATAGAGGTCAGAAGGAGGAAGATTAAAGTTATGGTGGGCGTGGCGCGCACCAAAGTGGGCGGAGTTTGCCACCAAATTATAACTCGGTTCCAAGAAGTCCGGAGACCGGGAAAAAGTGGATAGAGGTGGGGAAGGGAATGAGGTCAAGGTGCTGTTGGTGGGCGGAAGCATGCACAAAAGTGGGCGGAGTTATCCACGAAACGTCATAATTCTGTTTCCACAAGTATCAAAAAGGGGAAAAAGGTGGATAGAGGTCAGAGAAGGAGGCAAAGTCAACTTCCAACGGCGGGCGTGAAAGTGTGCGGAGTTGAATCGAGGTCGTGGAAGGAGGTGAGGTTAAACTTTAATGATGGGCGTGGCGCGCACAAAACTAGGCTGGGTTTGTTATCAAACTTACAACTCGTTCAAGAAGTCTCGGAGACCGGGAAAAAGGTGAATCGTGCTATTGCGCGGAAGGTGCTCAAAAGATCATTCTGTCCCTAGAAGTATTAAAGGGTGGGAGAAAGGATAGAGGTCAGAGGAGGAGGTGAGATCAAACTTCAGTGGTGGACGTGGCGCGCACAGAAGTGGGCGGGGTTTGTTATCAGACCTATCCCTCGGTTCCAAGAAGTTCCGGAGACCGAGAAAAGCTGAATCGAGGTCGGGGAAGAAATGAGGCCAACTATTGTTGGTGCATGGAGCGCGCGGCAAAGTGGGCGGAGTTCACCGCGAAACTACCTACTATGTTTTGAAGAACTCTTGAAAACCGTGAAAAAAATGGCTAATGATAAGAGAAAGAGGAAGGGTAAATGTTGATGATAGGCGTGAAGCGTGGCCATGTGGGCAGAGTTTGCAGCCAAACTTATAATTCGGTCCCGAGAAGTCCCGGAGACCAGGAAAAAAGTGGATGGAGTCTGGCAGTGTTAGGGAGGTAAATAGCCGTTGTCGGGTAGGGCGTGATCAGAATGGGCGGAGTTATCCACGAAACCTTCCAACTCGCCTCCAAGAAGTTCTGGAAACCGGGAAAAGAAGTGGATAGAGTCTGACAGTGGAAGGGAAATCAATTTTTATTGGTGGGTGGCACGGAGGTGGGCGGAGTTTGCTACGAAGCTTCAAAAAAGTATACCTATATCTTGCGCCTACCGCATTTTAAGAATACGATGTGCCCATTCCACTCGCGTGCTTTTTTCATTAGCAATTGGTACTGCTCTGTTTTAGATCAGCAAACTACCTAATTTTGAAATTTTGGTTATTTTGTGCCAGCCGCGCAATCATGGTAATCACAGTTGCCCTTCATGTTGGGATATGTATTAAAGGCAAGAATCATGATTAACACGTTGACGACAGCATGACGCGCATGCGCGTCAGAATTTCACCCGATTCTGGCTATTTTTTGGTTTATTTGGCCTTTTTCATATTTCAAAACTGTGTGCATGCGTATCTTATCCGAAAAACTGTGAGTCAATTACCAGTAGTGGAATTATTGAAGAAGTTATGACGATTGTGAAAAAAATAAACAAAAAGTTGCCGAGGTACACGCATAAGGGGCTGTCGTCAACGTGTTAAATTGATGGGTGATTCCACTCAAATGTGAAAGTAGGGATGGGAGGTGGACCGCCAGTGGAGAAAAAAGGAAAGAAAATCCTGAAATACACAGGAAATACGAGCATTTTGCTCTATGCTGTGGAGAAGTTCGAAGGTAGGTAGGTCCCGAACTTCACCTTCAACGAGGAAACTCTTTTCTTCTGTTCTTGTTCTCATCTTTCTGCATATAATGTTTAGAGTTCTGATCACAATGGTCTTCTTCTCAGTAAACTTTCAAGGCTTCGTCTCGACTCGCGGCTATGTGATGTCACTCTAATTGCAGAGGTACTTCACACAGCAAACAGATTGGAGGGTTTCAGTCAAAGGTTTTGCAGGGAACCCGATTCGATGCACATCGAAACGTGCTTGCTGCCTGTTCAAGTTATTTTGAAGCCATGTTTCACAAACGACATGGCTGAAAGTCGCTTGCGTATGTCTATTTATATTTGCTAGGTGTGGTTCGCTTGGACAAAAAGCGACTTTTGCGTTTTTCGCAGTGCGAAACTGTTATGTTGAGGGAACCCCCAAGTTCACTGCTGTCATTCTGGATCCAGGGTTCTCACGGCAAAAAATGTTTCGCGTTGCAAAAAGCGGAAAGATGGCCTCCTTCCTAGCGAGCCGCATTTGTATTTGTGGATACACTTTAAATGGGTTCTGTGTTTTTATTTATTTATTTATTTGAAACAACGCATAAGGCAGTCGTGGGAAATAACGATACATAAACAGCAGTACAACAATCTTTCCTTATAGATACCTGGTTTAGCTCAACAAATTTTTCATAGCTAGGCGTTTGAAAAGCACATAAGTGGGAGTGACGAGTGCTAAATTCGATTTAAGAGAAAATTCAAGTGTTGCAGAATGAAAATGAAGATACGGATTGCGTCGGGCTTTTGGAATAGCTAATATGAGCAAAAATTTTGCCTACGTCTTGGTGAGTAACGTATCCTATGATGTCCACTGTCCGCGTGTGGGTTGGTGTTGGGGTGGGGCGGGCTGGGTTTTGGGAGTGTCATAGCACATCGTGTTGCTCCACTGAGCGAAAGAAGTTCAGGTTAACGTCTTTAAAGATGATGGAGGGTTTGCTCCTTTAAAATATAAACACCACGACTTTTGATTCTGCTGGTCTTAGGAATTCTGCTGCGAGTTTTTAAAGAAGGAGCTTTGTTCGTCTAATTGCTTGGGGATTCGAAGGATCGCTAACTTTTACGCATGTCAGGAATTTCTTCAACTTCGGTAGTACGCAGTATCTTTTTTTTCTGTTGACTTTATCGTTGTTCAGGTCTTGTGGGGTAAACATTTTGTGGTTTTCTTAGCACAATATTCGACTTGAGGAAATTTATCTCCTTTTATTCAACTCTCACCTTGTTTCAAGTGAAGACATTCGAATCCAATCAGAGGAGCAGGTACGCAAATTTCCTGTCAAGACATACTATGAGTTTTTTTCATTTATTCTGTGCTTGCTCGTTTTTTGCATAAATTTGTATATGGTATGGTATTGGTTTCTAAGTTATTGGAGCTGCCTGATGGATTGGTTTTAAAGTTATTGGAGCAGTATTTTTAGGTTTACACGGCGGTCTTGAAGTGGGTCAGATACGACTTGCAAGTTCGGGAAAATTTTTTTCTCGCAAAGGTCCTTATGCACTTCATGCATGTACTTCGACCCGTATTTCATATAGGTATTGTTGGTTCGGGTGAGTTTGATTGGAGGCTGGGGGGGTGATGATGTGTGTGGGTGAGTTGGAGGATGTACGTGAGGCTGTCATCTTTGGCGTCAATTTTCAGCCTGGTCATATCGACAGTTAGTGAGGATCATTTTATGTGTAATGACGGAAGTCGACTGGCCGATCTTCGGCCGATGAAGCCAAGTCGGGTGCGTTTATTAGTGAAAGGTTATTCTGAAGATATTAAACTTTATTTTCAAATATCTGTGATTATATATATCGTAGTCTTACAGTATCTAGTGTGGTCTGTTGTGAAGCAACCAAATATGGAAGGACCGCGCACGAGGCCGAGGAAATCATTCAATCTTGGCGGAGTACTATACGTTGGTATGATTAAATTCTGCATTCCTATTTCTTTCTTCAAGTCCAATTTCTCATCGGTACGACTCGGCTATGCATGGGAAGAGGATCTGCCAGAAACAGTCGAGACGGCGGTCGAAGCGTGTTGTTTGTCCTATTTTCAACTTTTAGAACCACGGACGGTCCCTGTATGGGATGGTCGTTGGTGGGCAGTTTATTTGATTGCTCGCTGTTATGATTCCCCTGTAAACAAATAAGTAAAATAAAATAAATAGATAAATCTTGACCGGACCTTCCTTCCCGTCCACCTCATCACCATGACCATCTTAACACGTTGATGACAGCGTGACGCGGTAACGCGTCCCACCCAGTCATTCCTTTTGCTTGCGCAGCTGCGAGACTTTCCACAGGTCTTTGGTACTTCGATGCTTACGCGTAAACATAGCACAAGAGCTTAAAACCCAAAGGCTCACCGAAGTACCTAGATATTCTTTGCTTTGGACAGAGTTTTCCAACTTTCAATACAGGTGAACATTTTGATAAAAAGGAATAATTAGAAGCGAAATAATAGCTATTACGTCGTGGGAGATATGGGTTTTGCTGAAAACAACACCGTCAAATTATTTTAGAACACTAATGGAAATGTGGGATGATTGATGACTTTTATTTGTGTATTAACAGTCATTCGGTCAAAGGTCCCATTATGATTACTCCCGGTGAGATTAAACAGATGAAAGGTATTTTCAAACGAAGGCCCGGTAAGATGTATCTAGCGTATAGGTTGACTATTTTTTCCGCTTTCAAAATCCTATGGATCTACGTGTGCGGTGGCGGCGATCGCAAAATTTCTAGGTCCACGCCGGTCGTGCCATAAAAAAACAAACACTGCGCGGGATGTCGTCAGACGGGGGGGGGGGCTTGTACTAAAGTTGAAGCGCTACGTCTGTCGTCTGCTTTGTTGCGTTTTTTCAGGGTGATCTGCACGAAATTCATACTTTTGTGAGATCCAATGGGAGGAGCCGAGAGTCAAGGGTGGGATGACGATCTTAAGGGGGGGGGGGGGGGGGCTATAGGGGGCCGATGTGTGCGCGAGAGGGCCAGCAAAAGAGTATATTGTGAAGCTGAGCGGGAGTATTAGAGTGCTTCATCTGCACGCGTTGTCTAGGACGAGCCCTTGCTTTTGGCTGAGGCGTAGGTAGAACGTCATGGTTTTATGAGATTCTGTTGTGGGTAATTACGGTGTTGGCTAATCATGGTGTGCGATATGGTTTCAGGCAGTCGGAGATGGTCTGTCGCGGTGGCCACAAATGCGGCGTGGACGCCAGGGTGAAAATCGCTTAAGGGAAAAACGAAACAACACTGGTGAGGGATCTTTCGAGCGCGTGGTCGCGGACGCGGAGGCTCGTCGCGATCAGGCTTAGGCGAGCTCCGTCTGTGTCTCGGCATCAGTTCAACTCTGTAACACTGCTTCGTCGCACGGTACAGATACATTGGTCGACGGTGATGTATTCCATATACCTTCCTACTATATATAATTCGCTAAGTACACTGCGACGCATAATCTTAGTTCCACCTACAAATTTCCCAAAAACTAGAATTTGGAGATGTTTTTGAAAAGGCTTCATAACGAACAAGTTTCTCAAGGATGCTACAGGATATGATTCTGGGAAGAACCCTGATTACTATCCGACCGAGATAAGCGCCGTATCGTGAGAAAATAATACGACTTTATCCAGACGGGTACGGAAATCAAAACTTCTTCAAGTTAGTGTCTTAACCCTTTGACGACCGTGTGGCCCGCCGGTGGGCCACACTTTCACTCGGTGGCGACTCGTTTTTCGTGGTTTATTTGGCATTTTTTATGTTTCAAAACTACACAAATACATTATCGAATTCGCGGAATAATGCGCTAATTACTAATAGTGAAATTGTTGGAGAGTTAATGATTATTGATGAAAAAATTAAAAGAAGTGAAGTGACGCATTCACAACGGCGGTCGTCAAAGGGTTAATGGAAGCAGTTTCACGTGTTTTACAACACGCTCGTGACAGTCCATGTCTGGAAGATAAGAAATACGCTTTTAGTGAAAAGAAATCAGAGAAGAAAACGAGCCATTTTTCTCAAAAAGTTTTGCTAAGTAGAGCGAAGTGAGGACACTTTTTTATCTGTGATATTTTGGAACCTCTGACCATCCTCCTGATCATTTTCTTCTCCATACATGTGTGCTACGAAGTAGAAAACCGATCTGAGAAAGAAAAACGTTAAGAGAAAGAAAGACGCAAATCAAAAGTCGCAAATGAAAGAATGCCACCGCTTCACTCGAACTGGCTGAGCTTTCAAAGAAAAATGGCTCGTTTTTCTCTCTGATTTCTTCTCACTGAAAGCGTATTTCTTATCCTCCAGACATGGACTGTCACGAGCGTGTTGTAAAACACGTGAAACTGCTTCCATTGAGACACTAACTTTTGAAGAAGTTTTGATTTCCGTACCCGTCTGGATAAAGTCGTATTATTTTCTCACGATACGGCGCTTATCTCGGTCGGATAGTAATCAGGGTTCTTCCCAGAATCATATCCTGTAGCATCCTTGAGAAATTTGTTCGTTATGAAGTCACCCCGACAAATTCAGCGTGAGCTGACACTTCAACAATTCCTGCGTCTCTTTTGCTAGGGTTTTCCTTTTACGACAGCGGTTTTGCCTTTGCTATAAGCTAAGGAACTTGAGTGGGTAATAATTTCAAAATTTGATTGGGTAAAAGCAAAATGCAGCAGAGAAACATGTGGTGGAACTATGATTTTGCGTCATAGGCAAGCGGGTATTTTCGAAAAAATGAGGATAAAAAATTTTGCTTTCTCAAACTGGATTTCCGTGATAATATTCAGATTCGCATTTGCATGTGTCACAATTTGTCTGTAGAGCCCTTTTCAAAAACATCTCCAAATTCTAGTTTTTGGGAAATTTGTAGGTGGAACTAAGATTATGCGTCGCAGTGTATGTACAGTACTCGCCGTTTGAAATCGAAAATTCACGCGAATAACGCGAATCCTCGTTAATTTCGTGAATTCGTTATAACTCGGGTCAGAGTGAAGTATTCCAGAAACGGAAAACACCGTTGAACTCAGCTCTTCAAGCGCTACAAGATGGTGCTAAAATATTTTCAGAAAGCTTGATTTCGGAATGCGCCATGCACTCGATTTCATCTCAAAAAGTAGTTGCTCGCATGTGATGTGTATATAATCCCGCTTATGCGGGCTAACCGCTACACACAAAGAAGGGCCTCAAAACTTACCCCAGAATGCGCCACGTACTCAATCTCATCCACTACATTGTGAGATTAGATGAATGTTATTTTCCGAATTCTTAGATCTTCATTTCGTTTTAAGCGCTTACTGGCTTTACGTGTTCCCTCTGCTCTCAATATCCCATCCTCTGTATATCAAGTGGAATCTTTGAACAGTTCTCAGCAGGCATAGTGGGCCTATTATGTGACATTTTCCATTTTCAGAGGAGATGTTTTGCAGAAAGCTGTGAAGATAGCGAACAATTTCCTTCACTGTCGTAGACTACGGTCACTTGTCTGTAAGGATTATATGGAAACCTTGGTCGCAGGTGAGCGTTCCTTCCGTGGTGTGACCCCAAACATCACCCCTTGTCATGCCTTTGCCCCCTATTACGTGACAAGTTCCCATTTTTAGAGGAATGTTTTGTAGAAAGCTGTGAAGGAAGCGAAGAATTTCCTTCACTGTCGTAGACTATGGTCACTTGTCTGTAGGAATTATGTGGAAAACTCGGTCGCAAGTGAGCGTTCCTTCCGTGGTGTGGCCCCAAACATGCCTCCTCGTCATGCCCTTGTGGAAAGTTCAGATTTTTTGCATTTCCAGATGAACTCGCAGACCTGAAATGTGCCCGTTTTCAGCTT